TAAGAAAAGCGATCCTTCACGCCCCACTCCCGTCCATCACCTCCGTTCCAGGTTAGAGATAGTTGTATGTTTTCCCCCTTGGATTTCAGAAAAAAAATCACTTCAAATTCGCCATAATTGTACCAAAGTACAGTTGAAATGATGTCAGTCTCCTCTGCCCATAAACTGTCAAAACCTAATATTGGAAAAAGCAATTGATGCGTCTCCTGTGAGATTCTATAGGCAGACCCTGCTACTTGTTTTTACCTCCTCTCCCTTCTAATATACTAGAATGTCATATTTTTTTTAAATAGGTGGAGATCGCCCGGTCCATACTCCTCCCCTTTCTCTTCAACATGATTAAATGCTCATACCTTGTTTCCTGTTTAGGAAGGGATTCTCGGTTCCTTTCCTATTCCCACGCCTTAATATTGGAGCTGTCATGATTTTTTTGTGATCTGTGCGGATGGGGGCAACGTCCCTTCATACGGTGGGTAGCGGGTTGACAGTGTTCTGGTTCCTGTTCCCGACTGGTAGTTAGGAGCTCGAATTCTTGCATGGCTTCTCAGGAGGCTGCTCTGAACAACAGTAGCATAATATCGGGGTTCTTGTAGTGCCATGTTGCGCATCAAAGGGTGTCCCTGCAAGTTCCCCCGGAGGGAAAACCCGAGGCCATAATATGTGGCACCCTCCGCCAGTTCCCTTCCTCCACATTTTACATTAAACGACCGACATCTACTACTACCCTAGAACTTTCCTTACAAAAACCAAACACCATGACTATAAGATATACAACTAAACCAGCTCAACAAAATCACCTAAAGTCCTTAACATTTCTTTCTCCACCATTCATGGTATTCGTACTAACATCTGCAGTGTAGAATTGTTCCTCTTCGAAACCTTTTCAATTTCCTCCGCTCATTTCTCGATTCCTGGCTATCTTCCTTTCCTCAGTAAGGATTCTAATGTCAACATGCACGATCTGGGAGTTTATGTCCGTGGACGTCACCCGCTGGCTAGAGAACTCTCTCTTGAATCTCCACACCACTCTTACATGTGTCCCCGTCTCTTTCTGCTAAACTCAGTCTCTCTTCGAAAACTCTCCGGATATCCAAGTACTCTGTAAAACTAATCATATTTCTTCAATCTCCTCCTCTGATGTCTCGATTCCTGGCTATCTTCCTCTCCTTAGGAAGGACTCTAATGTCCACATGAATGGCCTGGGAGTTTATGTCCGTGAACATCTCCAACTGGCTAGAGAACTCTTTCTTGAATCTCCACACCACTCTTACATGTGTCTCCGTCTCTCTCTCTCTACTTAACTCAGTCAGCTATCTCTTCTTTCTCTACCGACCCCATTCCTCTCGTTACTGTTGCGTTCTAGTTTTTTCTGATCATATAAACAAGGCTATCTCCCTACACACGTTTGCAAATATATTTGTTTGGTAATGTTGATTCCCAGCATAGGTGGCTAAAACACTCTGTCACTGACCCCGCTGTTTCTAATCTTCATCAATGGTCTTTCTGCTAATGACACTACCATTTACACCTGTCTCAATAGCAAATCCGTCACAGCTGACAAAGATAACTTGACCGCTGCTCTTGAAAATGACCTCAAATCTGTGGTTAATTGGGGAAGGAAATGGCTTTTAAATTTAAATGCCCCCAAAACGAAACTGCTCTCATTTAACCACCACAGAGAAGCTATCTAACACACCATCAACATTACTGATGTCAAACCCATGGAGAGCAACACACTGCGCCTAAATGAATTTAGGTTTTCAACTGTCTTGAAGTAGAACGACTTCATCGAATCAATAGCTGCATCTACTGCAAGGACATTTGGGTTATTGTATCGTATCAGAATTTTTTTCTCGCCAGAGTCCATCTTGCATATTTACAAATGTATCATTCGTCAGTACATTGAATAATGTTGCCATATCTGGTCATGGGCTCCTGCTACTCATTTCGACACATTTTTGTCGTGCATGACAAGTAACGTTAGTTGACAAAGAATTCTCAGGATACCATGGGGAGACCATGCGAGAAAGTAGAGTGCTTTTAAAATACAAAAAATTTATACTTACAATAATAATATATATATATATATATATATATATATATATATATATAATATATATATAACAAAATCCAAAGAAGTATCTTCAATTTAATCGACCCTGACTTAGCATCTCGATTTCAGTCATTTTGACGATTTTGATGCAACGAATTATTTCAAGAGTGCCCCGAATTTAAGTGAAATAGTTAGATATAACCGCCACTTCCAACGGTTTCTTTTCTCTCAATTTCCGTCTGAGTTCTAACATTCCTGTTCTTTTATTATTCTCTCTTAAGAAATATCTTAGGGGCTTTAATAGCTTGCTTGGGCTGAAATGATTAACAAATAAAATACATACAAAAAAAGCGGAGCTTATAATAAATTAGTTAACAATTAAGCGACTTTCGGCGAGTTCTCTTCTTCTGTGTGCCGTTTATATTCAGGACGTTGATGAATATTTTATAACTTATCAACTCTTATAAATGGAAAATCAGCAAGCTCTTTATTTTAAAAACGAAAAAGGGCTTTTTTTAAGATGGATTTTGAAAATGTCAAATATTTAAATGCAACGTCAGTCGCTAACGACGTTCAAATTTTATCCCTTCCTCAATCCCCCCTATAGCCAATCTTTTCTCGCGCCCTCGCTCTCTGTAATCTCCACTCCTGCTTAAAGCATTCCCCTTGGGAAAAATTAAAGACAAAAAAGGGTAGATTCATATTCAAAGGTTCAAACGAATGTGATCTTCATCGGACAATCATCTTTATGGGCCATGTAATGAAACTTATCATATTGCTGGACAATCTTGTCGTGCATGACAAGTAACGTGAAAAAGAATACTCAGGATACCATAAAATGCGAGAAAGGTTCTTTAAAATACAAGAAATTTCTGCTACCTAAAAAGAATCTAACACAGAATAAAGAATTACAGGGGCAAGATTTTTAAAATGTCGAAAGTTTCTTATAGTACCTCCTAACGCCAAAACCCCACAAAAAAACCCCCAAAAAGACCCAAAAAGAATAAAAACAAGGTTCTTTATTTCTGCTAAAACATATTATTTCCTCAGAAAAAAAGCCCCCAAAAACATATATTTGATGCAAAACATTGCAATATATTCATCTTTGTGCCGAGTCGATTTAGGGCGTAAGCGATCAAAATTTGTTGTCCATTGTAGCTCTTAATAAATTTTGTCTTTCTGTTATTTTTCCTAAACCTTGTTCCGGCATCCATTTAGCAGGTTTTACATTGTTTTCCTCTTTCTTTCTGGCCTTCAGCCTGCCCTATGAGTATCATTTTTCCACTCCCTCATCCTCACTATTATGCTCTACATATTCCATCTCTCTCTTTCGAGGATTAAGCATAACTTTTCTTTCTGTTAATATTTTCTTTAAAAATTCGTCGTTGATCCACGGTGTCCTCAGCATCCTCCCGTAGATCCATATTTCTGTTGCCTCTTCATTGGTTATTACTACTACTACTGCTACTAGACTCTCCGGTCGTTTTTCGAAGTATGAGGGCCAAGCTGTCGGGTCCTAGGAACAGACAGCTAGACAACTGATTATTTACTATTTGATTATAATGGTGAGGGCTTTGTGCAGAACCAACCACCCCTTTTAAAGAGCCGAATACAGAGACCTGGTGCACTACGTGCTAAAAGGCTTTTCAGAGTTGGGCTTCTCCTAGACCAGTTGACATCCAAGGCTATAGTACCCAGTCATATTTATAGTGATTTTCCAAGCGTAGCTTAGATGAGGAACATCGAGGATCGAACACAGTACTCAGTCGTAATTGATCTAGCGAGACAATCTTGCTAACCATTACAATACGTAGAAGTGTCCTATGATATTCCAAGCGTAGATTAGGTGTGGCACAAGGCCGAAAGTATGGGCCACCCAGTGAGGATCAAACACACTACTCAGTCGTAATTGATCTAGCGAGACAATCTTGCTAACCATTACAATTCGTCGAAGTGTCCTATGATATCCTAAGCGTAGATTAGGTGTGGCACAAGGCCGAAAGTATGGGCCACCCAGTGAGGATCGAACACACTACTCAGTCGTAATTGTTCTAGCGAGACTAGCTTGTTAACCATTACACCACCTCGAGGTACCCAGTCAGTCAGTCTTTATATGGGGGAAGATGAAGATGATTCTCACCCTTTATTTGCACTTGGGATGTCGTTTAGAATGCAATGGATTCGATTTGGATTCGAACTCGGCACTCCGATTCCTCAATCCGAGCCGCTATCCATTAGTGCACCGTGCCTCCTACTTCACGCTGCCTCTTTATCTGTGAAGGATATTATCTAACATTCACTGTCATGCAGGAAGTCTGATATTACGTAACACCTCAGTAATATTTTCTTTGTTTCTAACAGACTGAAATAAATATTATTAAAAAAACAAACCAATCATTTTTCTTTTCGTTATTTTTATATCGCGCCAGTTTCTTCTCTTGTTATCTGATCATTTCTTATTCGACCTTTAAGGAATGATATATTCATCTATATTTTATATCAATTGGCTCAGTTTCTCTTTATCGTTGTTTGTTTATTTCTTTGTTTGCAGCTTCTAATTGTTTGCTTAAATTACCCTTTCTTTCTTGCTTTTTTTTAGTAATGTATTCATTCATTTTCATTTTTAATTGATAATGTTCATTTTTCTTTGTTCTCCATATTTCTTTCTTTCTAAATCCAAATTATCCACAAATAGTTCTTCTTACTTTTCTGCTTTTTCCATGTTGACATTCTAATTCTTTGCGCCAAATAATATATTGTTTTTTTAGTTCTTACCCGCTTTTAATTGTTAACGTCAATTACTCTTTCTTTCTTGTCTATGCATTCATTTTCTTTTTTTATATTAGAAGCGTTAATTTTTCTTCGTTTATCTTTTATTCTTTCTTTTCAACTCCTAATTGCTAATTTGTTCCAATTACTCCTTTCTTCTTTGTTCACATTCCGTTAGCTTCAACTAAACTTTTTCTTTCTTTCTTTCTTTCTTTTTTCTTTCTTTCTTTTCGTTTTTTCTTTCTTTCTTTCTCTTTCTTTTTTCTTTCTTTTTTCTTTTTTTCTTTCGTTCTTTCTTTCTTTCTCTTTTGTTTTTCTTTCTTTTTTCGTTTTTCGTTCTTTCTTTCTTTCCCTTTCGTTTTTCTTTCTTTCTTTCGTTCTTTCTTTTTTCTTTCTTTCGTTCTTTCTTTCTTTTTTCTTTCTTTCGTTCTTTCTTTCTTTTTTCTTTCTTTCTGTTTTCATTCTTTCTTTTTTCGTTCTTTCTTTCTTTTTTTTCTTTTTTTCTGTCTTTCTTTCCTTTTCTTTCTAGCTTTCTTTACATTTTCTTTGCTCTTTATTCATAAATTGATTAATTCATATTTTCTAAGTGGCAGCGTTAATTATTTTTCGTTCCTCTTTTCTTTCATTTTATTTTGTTTCTTTCTTTTTCTTTCTTTTTTCCTTTTTCTTTATAGTTTTGCATTAGATCTACTATAATTACCCATGTATAATACGCATTCATCCATAATATATACCCCTAAAATTGCGCTGAAAATATGGCTTATCCTCTCTAATTTCATAACAGCCAGCGTTTCCTCCTCTTATTACAAATGGTTTTAAACATAGAATAATTTTATTCTAATTTAGTTTTATGATAATTCTTATTTCATTTTACATTTATAAGTATTGTTATGTATATATGATTGTATTTGACATCCTTATGGGGTCGCAATCGGTGAATGTTAGTGTCAAATTGTTGCATATTTGTGGTGAGTAGTCATTTCGCAACTGAAATCGACCTATGAAACGGCAATTTTTAAAGATTATTTTGTAGCTGTGCATAATACGCGCCCCTAATTGTACTTATTAGTTTTAGAAAGAATGCTTATTATACATGGGGAATTACAGTACTTAGTCTCTCTTTTTTTCTTCTCTACTTTTTCTCTTTCTAAATATTAGCTTCATCTAATAGATTGTGTTTCTCTCTTCTTTCTTTCTTTCTTTCTTTCTTTCTTTCTTTCTTTCTTTCCCTTTTCGCTTTAATTAGTTTTTCTTTTCTCTTTTGCTATTTTCACTTACAATTTCATTCGTTTTTATCCGTTGTTTATTTGTTTGTTTGCTTCTTTCTTTCATTCTTTCTTTCTTTTTTTTTTTTTTCTTTTTCGTTTTTTTTTTTGCTTTCTTTCTTTGTTTTTTTTCTTTTTTCTTTCTTTCTTTCTTTCCCTTTTCGTTTAAATAGTTTCTTTTTTTTCACTTTTGCTATTTTCACTTACTTTCATTCGTTTTTATCCGTTGTTTATTTGTTTGTTTGCTTTTTCTTTCATTTTTCTTTCTTTCTTTTCGTTTTTTCTTTCTTTCGTTCTTTCTTTTCTCAATTTTTCTTTCTTTCCCTTTTCGCTTTAAATAGTTTCTCTTTTTTTTTTCACTTTTGCTATTTTTCACTTACAATTTCATTCGTTTTTATCCGTTGTTTATTTGTTTGTTTGCTTCTTTCTTTCATTCTTTCTTTCTTTCTTTTTCGTTTTTTCTTTCTTTCGTTCTTTCTTTTCTCAGTGCTTTCTTTCTTTCTTTTTTTCTTTTTTTCTTTCTTTCTTTCTTTCCCTTTTCGCTTTAAATAGTTTCTCTTTTTTTTCACTTTTGCTATTTTCACTTACAATTTCATTCGTTTTTATCCGTTGTTTATTTGTTTGTTTGCTTCTTTCTTTCATTCTTTCTTTCTTTCTTTTTCGTTTTTTCTTTCTTTCGTTCTTTCTTTTCTCAGTGCTTTCTTTTTTTTTTCTTTTTCTTTCTTTTTTCTTTCCTTTTTCGCTTTTAAATAGTTTCTCTTTTTTCACTTTTGCTATTTTCAATAATTTCTCTTTTTTTATCCGTTGTTTATTTTTTGTTTGCTTCTTTTTTCATTCTTTCTTTCATTCTTTTTCGTTTTTTTCCGTTCTTTTTTGTTTGTTTCTTTCTTTTTTCTTTTTTTTTTCTTTCTTTCTTTCTTTTTTTCGTTTTTTTCTTTTTTTTCTTTTTGCTATTTTCACTTCTTTTCATTCGTTTTTTATCCGTTGTTTTCTTTTTGTTTTTCTTTCTTTCTTTCTTTCTTTCTTTCTTTTCGTTTTTTCTTTCTTTCGTTCTTTCGTTCTTTCTTTTTCTTTTTTCTTTTTTTTTTTTTTCTTTCTTTCTTTCTTTTTTCTTTCCTTTTTTCTTTCTTTTAATTTCTTTCTATCTTTCTTTCTCTCTTTTCGCTTTATTTTTTCTCTTTCTTTTCAATTTTGCTATTTTCGTTTTTATCCGTTGTTTATCTGTTTGTTTGCTTCTTTCTTTCTTTCTTTTTTTTTTCTAATATTCGTCAGATAAGCGAAATCTTGATGTGATAAGAAATGTTTGCAAAAGAGAACAAATTTCAGGTACACAGAGGTTCTCGTTCTAAATACCGACATAGGAAGAATATGCAAGAAAAGAAGAAAAATGCAGAGCGCCTGTCAATGAAGGAAAACCCAGAAGAAAAAAAAAAGTAAAAAGCAAAGAGACGATAAAAAAGTCTTACTCACTCAGAACCGCAAAACTATTGATTGCAAACATGGAAAAAGATGAAAGTGAAAAGATCAAAGGCGCCCAGGTGTGTAGAGAAACGAATCAGTCAAATTATATGTCTAGATGCGTCTATCTGTGTGTACGTGTGTTCGTAAAGATGATAACAAAAAATGATTAGTACCAGTCAGGATTTAACGAGTTATATACGAAAAGGGCAGTAGAGTAAGAAAAAAATCTGTCAAAAATGAAGAATCATGTCTCTCTTTTTTTAAATAACCTTTACACTTCGTAGACCAAATCACCTTTTCGAATGTGTTTTCGTTTGAGACTCATTATTTTTGCCCAATTTAAATTGACGTTTTTCTTCCGTTCTTTTTGCATAATCTGTTGATTTATTTTCGCTGTCTTTTATTTATTTATTTTCCGTTTTTAGTTTCCAATTACTACCCTCGTCCTTTATATTTACTTAACTACCATTTTTATGTACTTTTCAGCATAAATAACCTTTGTCATTATGTTGACAGCATTTTAAAACGGTAGATAGATTGCGTGAATAAAGAACGATAACTCTTACATTCATCCTCCTATTGTTATTATTTATTTTCAGTTTAAAAGAATGATGTTTCTTTTTGTTCTTGTATTAACCCTTCATTTTTTTTCTTTATTCTTCCTTTTCGTAAATCCGTTTTTTCTTTGATAGTAGAGAGCCTTCCTAGAATTGGATGATTAAACAAACGATAACTCAGCTTATCGCCCTTGATTTCCATCTTGTTATTTATTTAATTTAGTGATTATTTCATTTTAATTTAAGCCTCCTTTTTCACCTGGTTTTCTTGTCCTTTTCATTTTTTATCTTTTATTAAATGTCAGATTAAGTTTTCTAACACACTTTTGTTAGTACATCTTAGTACCAAATCAATTTTCATCATTGTTTTCCGTTATTTGAGTTTTCCTCTTTGCATTCAGTGTATTTTTTTGAAAAAAAGCCATATTAATTTTTATTTTTAAATGAATTGGTTCATCATGTCTAAGTCTTTCTTTCTTGTTTTGTTTCCAACTTCTAATTGTTAGCTCCAATTATTCTTTATTTCTTTGACTTATTTATTTCGTAATTTGTTCATTTCTTTTCATCTTCTAGCCGGAAAGGTTAATTATGTTTTCGTTCTTCATTTTTTTTATTTGTTTTCAACTTATAATTGTTAATTAACTGCAACCGCGCTTTTTTTTTCGTTTCTTCATTTTTGGGAATATTTTAATTGTTAGCTTTAAATAAACTTTTTCGTATTTCCTTTTTTCTTTCTTCCTTTTTCTTTCTTTCACTTACTCTTTCTCTCTTTTTGACGTCCAATTTTAACTCTAGTTATTCTTTCTTTCTTTCTTTCTTTCGTTCTTTCTTTCTTTCTTTCTTTCTTTCAATTACAATTCCTCTCTTGAAATGTACAAGTTTTATCTTCAATTATTATTTCTTTCTTTCTTTCTTTCTTTCTTTCTTTCTTTCTTTCTTTCTTTCTTTCTTTCTTTCTTTCAATTACAATTCCTCTCTTGAAATTCTTTCTTTCTTTTTACAGTTACAATTCTTCGTTTGAAGTGTACATTTTTTAGCTTTAGTTATTCTTTCTTTCTTTCTTCCTTTCTTTCTCTATTTCTTTCTTTCTTCCTTCCTTTCTTTCTTTCTTTCTTTCTTTCTTTCTTTCACCTTTTATCTGCTAGTTATCTCAAAATTGCATTTTCTGCTTTCCACACTGTTTCTCCACTTTTATACATCCTTCTTTTTTTCTTTCTTGCCTTTCTTCCGTCATCTTCCATTTTTTTAACTCTTGCGATTATTCGCGTGTATCCTTGTTTTGCTTTTTGCTATTTGCTTTTCTATTTCCTTCATTCTTCGTAACCCAAAGAAAGCCTTCACGACACCAAACTAAATAGTTCCAAAAATTAAACGAACTTGTTACTTGTCGATTGATGGAAGAGAAAAGTACGCAAAGAACGACCTGGCTTTTTTTTTTCTTAAACCAAAATATCCCACCTACAAATATGCTTTCATCGCTCACATGAGAAACAGCAACAACAACAACGACAATAATAATAATAATAATAATAATAATAATAATTGCAACTAGAAATAGAATATAAAACGTGGGATGTATGAAGGGTCTAGACGACATCAAACGAAAGTTTGTAGCACAGTTTTATTTTTTTTTCGTTTGAAGGATACGAAGGATATTGTGTCGAAATATCCAATTTACATTGGTGTTCGAAACTCGCGAATATTAATGCAACATCTATGACTTCTTATAAAAGGTAATGCAGCATATTTTTTTTCAAAGATTTTGGTTGGCTACTTCTGTAATCATCTGCGAACCATGCTGTTTCTTCGTTAAAGTCACTAGAGCAAAGGCGTCGTTCATTGCACCTATGACCTCATGACGCATCTAGCACGAGGTTTAAAGGTACTAACTGGAAGTTACTAGTTGCAGAACAGATAATTTAGAGTAAGGTTTGCTCAAACTGTGGGTCCTGATCATCGAGTGGGTCGCGAAATAAATAAAATGGGTCGAGTCGAAAAGGAAAAAAAAATATGCAAGTGAGAGCAAAGTTCAGATGATATGCAACTCTAAATGTTGCATCATCGTTAGTTTTTCACTGGGGTAAGCTCGTGCTATATATATATATATATAGTCAGTTGAGTGGAAAGTGTGCAGAATAAAAACAGCAAACCTTAAAAAAGAAAGAAAAAGAAACATTACCTACTCATTAAAGTGCTCGAAATCTAGACTGAGCAATAAAACGCTTAACAACATTAAATCCTATGGCCCTCGTCGTAACCCGAGTATCACGCTCACGCGATCTTCAAACGATTTGACCAGAAACGAAAGAAGGGAGTAAGAGATTATTATAACCATCGAATCGACCTAAAGCATCACGATAAAAAATGTTTTAGGGCGATTCAAAGAATATATATATATATATATATATATATATATATATATATATATATATATATATAGTCTTAAGATGTGCTGTATTTATGGGATAAAGTGCTCAATATAAGAGGTACAGCGTGTGTAAATATATAAGTGATCATAGAAGTCAACACTTAGAGGCGACAGTTTGTTTCATGCTAGATGCAATCGTCAGGCCACGAGTGTTGTTATTTTTCTTGGCTATTTAAATATACGGGTCAGTGGAGCATTGTGGGTAGTCTATTTTTGGCGGTTATTCTACCGGAAGTCGTTTATTTGCTTATTTATTTGGGTAAAAATTACTTTGCTTGTTTTATTTATTTTTTTATATTTTTATTTTTATTTCTTATCTTATATATTTATTTTTTATCTTATATATATATATATATATATATATATATATATATTGAGAGAAAGAACTAGAGTATACTTTTCTATTTAATGTATTTACAAGAACTATTGTATCGTTTCTATTTTAAATAGAGACTATACAGTAGTTCCTTTTCTCATTGGTATAAACATATATATATATATATATATATGTGTGTGTGTGTGTGTGTGTGTGTGTGTGTGTGTGTGTGTGTGAAAATATATAGAAAATAGGAAGGAACTGGTTAAGTAAATAATCCAAAGTTCCGTAGTATTTTAGTTATTATTTTAAAAAAAAATAGTGCTCGATACAAAAGTAGACCATAAATATAATTATTTATTTAAAAATATGATTCCAACTCGCGACATAAGAGGTCTCATGTTTCAAAACAAGAGCCGAAAACTTCAATATGATTATTTGAATTAAATTGAGTTAAAGTAAGCTCTGTTCCATCTTCAAGCGAATTTTTTTTTGGGAATAATGTATTTCTGAAATTTACGTGTTTTAATAATTGAAATCAAAAATCAAAATTTCCATGGTAACAGCTAGGGCGAATTGTTTAAATTGGTAGGCGTGTGTTGGGTGTTAATAATAAGTATCAGTATAGAGTTACTTTCATAGATGTCAACTTGGGATGACCCATGCCCTTTGTGCCTCCATGAGAAATTGCACATTATTAAACTTCTAAACAATAATAATCTATTAAACAATAGACATGAGTTAACGGTTTTTTGTCGTCATCATCAGATTTATGGTTTGAATAATTAGCTAAAAACAAGCATACAATATAATAACTTGAGTAATCCATAGCCCAATCATCAGATTCATGGTCTGAATAATTAGCTAAGAACAAGCATACAATATAATAAATTTCATAATCCATAGCCCAAATAAATAGTTTAAATACCCTACAAAAAAGATAACCCTTTATGAAGTCGTCAAAAAACAAACGTTACGGCAGTTTCTTTTATATGCACAAATCCCTTTCATCATAAAAAAATAAAATAAAAAAATAAATAAATCTCCATAGACACGCATACCAGACTAGGGTTAATACATCTTCCATTTCAAATTTAGACACCCACACCTTTCCCTGACTGACATCTATGGTCATTTGATTATAAAAATGTAATTTTTGTTTGGGGTTCACTATTTGCCCATAGCTATCACCCGAACAGGTGCTGCCACGCCCGGTCTGTGTGTACCTGGAAACGAAAACTCTTGTGAAGTGGTTTCACTCTCCACAAAAACTACAATCTCCTGATCAGATTCCTTGCTGCCAGATGTAGTTTATCGTCCTACCAATGACGACCTTTTTTGGTATTGAAAACAGTTTCGTATATTTATGATAGTCGTAATCTTCTTCATCTTGAGGAAAAATTCTAAGGTTCATAACAATCGAATTACTTCGATCATTGTCAAGAAAAAAAAAAGATATTAGATGAAATTAAAAATTTCGTTTTGTAGCTTGATCGTTGGAATGTTCTGAGTGTTGAATCCTGATTATTTGTGTAGCTACGGGAGTTTTGTTATTATTTGTACATTTTGGAAATCTGTAGCGTGACTGTCACCTCGTTTGGATTTTGAGAACTTAAAAAAATCTAGAATGAATTTTGGAATCTCGTTTTCATTTATAAGATTTATTTGTTGATTGTTCGCCTTTGTGTTGAAGGTGAAACAGTGTCAACATTTCACGTCAGTTCTTCCAAAAGTTACAATTTTAAGACTGGCGTCAGTCATTACTAAGAAAAAGAGAACATAGTAAAATTATATAATCTATTATTTGCTATATTTCCATTGTTTTAAATTTTTATATAGTAACCTGACCGTTGGTCATGAAAAGGACTTCCAAATTAGATCGTCCAGTACTTTACCACAAAGAGGTAGAAGATTAATAAACTAATAGATATAAGGATAAGATGGTCCGGCTGAGCTCTTAAATAATTGAATTACAGACGTATTTTCCAAGACGCCGGAGATTAAGAAGCAGCAAGGTATTTATTGTACAGCTTAGAGAGAAGAGGGGACAGATCTGGAGCACATTTCTGAAGGAGCATTGAAGGGATACCATCACGTCCACATGTTTTGTGGCGATCCACGTTAGAAATGATGGCAGAAGACGTGAACGGAGTTATATACATATAACATAATAGAGACTCAGTTCTAAGTGAAAAGTCAGACAAAGGTAATCAAGATAAATCAAAAGTAAGATTCAAAAAGAATTTACGAGCAAAACAGTCTGCTTTATCGGCAGATGATGTTAACACCCCAAACTGTGTGAAGAGAAGAGGCGTAGAAAACTTTATTTTGTTTAACACTATTACAAAGACATCAATAGTCACGTGAAAATAACTAGTTAGGCGCTATACGATGTCTCATTCTATCAGCAGATAAACACTCAATCTAGTTGTGGACACGTTTACAATGATTTCGAGCAGTCACAATTCGGCGTCTGTTGTGAGAGGAATTATTATGCTGGTACACTCGGAAAAAAGTGATTCCTATTAGCTATAGCAGGCTGGTTTAAACCAAGAAGATTGTGGTTTCAGCTGATATCTGACAGAAGGAACAAAAGCATCAGCGGTGGCTTTAATCCAAAAAGAAACCTCTGTGACACACTGCACTGTCCGGTTAAGAATATCAATCCAAGGGGCGTCGAGAATAAAGTCAAGAAATGAATCCCAATCAGTACGCTGGTAAAAAAAAGAAGTTTTGGGAATAGGATGTCCCTTTCAATAGAGGACTTAAAAATTTCAATCGATATTGCAGCTTGATCTGAATTGAGGAGATAACGAAGTTGTGATGATCGACAAGAGCTAGGTAAGGAGGTGGGGAAGAACTCCAGTAAAGGAACATCTTGATCAAATCTATTAGGGAAATCCAGAGAGACTGAGAGTCCAAGGAATGGAAAAAAATTCTGAATATCGGTAACATCAGTAACATTAGAATGCTTAAACCATTTGAGCTGATGAGCATTAATCACATAAATCTTAGCGGATGGATGTAGAGAAAGAGCCATTTCTATAATATCGGTAAGTCTGATTAATATATTACAGTCCTGAAAAGAAGGAGAGCAATGAAGGAAAAAGAGATAATTAACAGAGTGCAGTAACGAAAGTCGAAAACACATGAATGAATCATTTGGGGGAATCAAGAGACAATTGAGAGCTTTCCCCGAATATAAACACCGAGGTGATGCATATGTATGCTTGAATAGTTTTGGCAAAGAGGAAGATGACATGGAACAGATAATTCATTTGCAGCAATAAAATGATTTAAATTACTTTCAAAAAGTGCGAAGACATCTATAAACCATTTCAAAAGAAAAGTCTCAACACTACAGAAATTAGAAGAAATGCTACGAATATTGGACAAATAAAGGTTGCTTGGGGCCGCGATTTATTTGTTTACATGTATTTCTTTTCATTGTATCCATCATATGAATATTTGTCTTAAGAAGAAAA